GTCTGTGTAAGTGATATTAGATGATATACGTCTGTGTAAGTAATGTTAGATGAAAGAGATGTTTGTGTAAGTAATGTTAAATGATAGAGAGGTCTCTGTAAGTGAAGTTAGATGATAGAGAGGTCTGTGTAAGTGATATTAGATGATATACGTCTGTGTAAGTAATGTTAGATGATAGAGAAGTCTGTGTAATTAATGTTAGATGATAGAGAGCTTTGTGTAAGTAATGTTAAATGATAGGGAGGTCTGTGTAAGTGATGTTAGATGATAGTGAGGTTTGTGTAAGAGTTGTTAAATGTTAGGGAGGTCTGTGTAAGTAATGTTAGATGATAGAGAGGTCTGTGTAAGTAATGTTAGATGATAGAGAAATCTGTGTAATTAATGTTAGAGGATCGAGAGATGTGTGTAAGTGAAGTTAGATAATATAGAGGTCTCTCTAAGTAATGTTAGATGATATAGAGGTCTCTCTAAATAATGTTAGATGATAGATATGTCTGTGTAAGTAATGTTAGATGATAATGATGTCTGTGTAAGGAATAATAGATGATAGAGATATATGTATAATTTAATGATAGATGATAGAGAGGTTTGTGTAAGTGATGTTAGATGATAGAGAGTATGTGTAAATAAGGTTAGACGATAGAGTGTTCTGTGTAAATGATGTTAGATAATTGAGAGGTTTGTGTAAGTAATGCTAGATGATAGAGAGGTCTGTTTATTTAATGTTATTACTCATCACGAACTCAACCAACCTACCCTCAAATCTAATTATATGCTCAAAATAGCGTATTGTCCGTTTTTTATATATACTAGTGTCCTTTTTTCGGTAAAAGAAAGGAATCACTGGGATCCCTGACGGATTCTGTGACAGAAATAGAGCGATAAGGTTCGTCATTTTTTCTGTGGTCTTGTCTGGAAAAGTCACTAATTACTTTGATGAAAATTCGTTGAAATGATGAAATTTTTATTCGCTCCATAAACACGTAAATAGAGACTTAAGCGGTTTTATAAGTACAATAAGCTTAGTTTTGCTCACCCAACACTGTGAAATAGTCATTGGTAATATTCAGACATTTTAAAGTTAGTTTTAAACAGGCGATTTTTATATCTACCACTTTGTTCCATCACGTTCCCTACTGTTAAGTACTACAGTACTTAATGATGACTAGAATGCATTGACTTTTCAACTGGATATCCTTTCTTTTATTGTTGTAAGTTGAATGTTTTATAAGGTATTTTTTCGCTATCAACAAAGAGTGAGATCTAAAATTATGTGAATTACTTGAGACCTAGTGAGGCAATAGCATAAAAATTAGTTATCATATTTCTCTGTCACACATAAGAAATATTTTTATGTCATAAAATATCTTTTACGCTGTTTAATGCAGCCTCATAATTATGTATTCAAAGTATTTGCCCATTATCTCTTTTACGATCTTCGAAACTTAGGCCTAAATATACCAGCCGTAAATATTTCATACATATTTACTTCGCTATCAGTCATGTTACACTTATTTTTTTACAGTTCACTCCATACTTCAAATTGTATGGTCCGAGAGAAGTTTGTGAAAGTAATGTAAACGTTACTATTGTTGACGTCACAGCTGACGCTTGTTTCGAAATGGACTACTTCTGGAGCATTTTTCCAGCTGATACATCAGGTAACATCTTCTATAGGTTATTGATGATACATCAGATAACATCTTCTATAGATTACTGATGATACATCAGGTAACATCTAAAGGTTACTGATGATATAATAGGTAACATCTAAAGGTTACTGATGATACAATAGGTAACATCTAAAGGTTACTGATGATACATCAGATAACATCTAAAGGTTACTGATGATACAATAGGTAACATCTTCTAAAGATTATTGATGATGCATGAGGTAACATCTTCTAAAGTTAATGGTGATATATCTGGTAACATCTTTTAAAGATTGTTGATGATACAATGGGTAACATCTTCTAAAGATTATTGATGATGCATAGGGTAACAACTTCTTAAGATTATTGATGATATATCAGGTAACATCTTCTAAAGATTATTGATGATACATCTTCTAATGGTCATTGACGATACATTACGTAACATATTCTAAAGATTATTGATGATACATCAGGTAACGTCTAAAGATTATTAATGATACACCAGGTAACATCTTCTAAAGATTATTGATGATACATCAGGTAACATCTAGACATTATTAATGATACATCAGGTAACATCTTCTAAAGATTATTGATGATACATCAGGTAACATCTAAAGATTATTGATGATACATATTCTAAAGGTCATTGATGATACATAATGTAACATCTTCTAAAGAGTATTGATGATACATCAGGTAACATTTAAAGGTTATTGATGATAATCTAAAGATTATTGATGATACGTCAGGTGTAAATTTCAAAATATTAAGAGAAATCATCGATGAATAAAAAAATGTTGTGATATAAGTTATAGTAAATGAATACGTTACTTATTAAAGCACACCATATACCTACGTAAGTATATAAAAAAATATACATAAAAAAGCTATAAAATGCCTTAATACCTTAGTTATGAACCCATTATAGATATCTTTAATATAACTACATTTTGTGTCTTAAAATTTAAAAAATAGAACAAAAAGCCATTTAACAGTTAACCAGTCGAGTACCGAAATGAATAACATGGTTACTGTAACTTTCGAAAGATGGCAGCACCACTGTTTCTTGTACGATTTCTTTTATGTGTAGCTTTATTTCATTGCTGAAATTCAGATGATTTACTAACCATAGAACATTGTTACCTGTCTACGATTTTAGATAAATATTCGTATGTTTCTCTGTCCTGAATTATTAGGTATTTCTTTGTTTTATTTCATCTAAATTTCTTTTTGTATATTACAATACATATTTTCTTCAAGACCCAACAATATATTACGGTCTCCATGCACTGGAAAAAGAAATATCAGAACAGAACAGTGGTGGAAACTCGAAACTTTTGTCCTTTTCAAGTCAACAGGTTAGTTTCTTGTTGATAATAAAATAAAATAAAATCCAAACTCTGTTAAGACATTTTTTTTATTAAAATTCAAAACGTTAGAGTTATTATTAGAACACTTATACGTCAGGTTGTTTCTATTTAAGCACAAAGCTACACAATGGGCTATGTGTGCTCTGCCCACCAGGGGTATCGAAACCCGGTTTCTAGCGTTGCAAGTCCGCAGACATATCGCTGTGCCACTGGGAGAGGGGGGCTTATACATCATATTTGTAGTTATAATACTTCGACGTTACATTAATATTGGAATATTTTCACCAAGTTTAATTATGGTATACTTTCACGTTACATTTCTTGTTAGAATATTTCGAAACCTGAAAGATAGTAATAGCAATTTCTTGACTAGAATTTCGTTTTGGAATCTACTTACTACAACGAATTATTTTACTATCAAGCTTCAGCATTGTATCTATTCTTCTGTGAATTATCTATTATCTCGTCAATGTATTGTTACGTATCTGCTTGTTTGTCTGTTTCCGGTAGAAATTCTCTTCTAGAATCTTCAGCGATACGAGTCCTTTCTTGATTAAACCAGTTTATTCTTCCTCAATAC